GATGATGATGGATTTTTCCTCTTCTTCAAATTATTCTCTGTAAACCATCTCTGTGGGAAAATCCCAGTACATTACCAGTTTGCAAAATACCACCCCACGTGGCAACAATGCCCCAGTCAAATCATAATTCTAATGATGTGTTTGACCTTCAGCAGGTTGTCTTGGCCACGTCTACATGCTTAAATGCATCGAGTCGCTGTCATATGATTGGTTTAGACATGTATTAATGACCAGTTGAACCAGTATATCTAATAAAGTGGCCAGTGAGGGTATATTAAGCTCAAATATTATGGCTAGGCTACCTGTGAGATTTCATAGTTTTGCTTTTTCATTGCAATGACTTCTTCTAGCAGTGGATACCGCTCTAATACCCGTTACTAAATCACCATATTGGTGAAACAATCCCCTAATCTATGTTCTCCCGCCACTCCATGTTATCGGCAGTCCGAGTAAAGACATCCTTGATCTCACTTTTAGTATGTTTTTAATCCTCCGTTTCCTGTTTACAACATCTCACGCACACACAGTGCATATGAATGGTCATGTGACATGTGTTTACTACAAAACTGTTTTTTTTAAACACTATTACGCATTTATGTTCTTTTAGCCTTAAAAATCTCCATTATATTTGCTTGATTATAGTAGTTATAGCACTAGAATTTAATCACTGGAACATCGGACACCCGTTAATAAAAATGATTTATGCATGTGGAGATTAAAATCAGCAGTAATTTACAGGAAGAACATACCCGAGGACTGCTCAGGGTGTGGCAAGACCTTGTCCTTCTCTGTGTTGATAACAGTGGGGCTCCTCATCAAAGGTGGAATGAAGGGAGCAATTATGGAAGCATCTACCCGTGTGATAGGGATGTCTGTGGGGAAAGCTGCTTGCTCAATAGCCTCACTCTCCATGGTCAGCCAGAAGTCATCCACATGTACCTCATCTGACACTGAAAACTCAGGCCAGGTAAACTGCAGAAAGATCACAAGAGGACACAACAAAAGAGCACACAGTCAAACACATATCTGAACAAAACAGCCATTGCCAAAACGAAAATTATGTGGCATTAATTACAGTTGTTATCACCAAACTCTCACTTCTACATTCTTGAGCTCCAGGACATTGTTTGTGTATCTCTGTGCAATTTCTATCTTTGGAGCAACGCCGCAAATGCCACAGATCATATCGTTGTAATCTCGTACGGTGAGACACTCAAAGGCCCAGTAGCCACTCAGGAGAAGCTCTTGAATTTGAGAGGATTCATCTGGATTAAGAGAATGGACTGGGGGCCAAAACCAAAGGAGAAAACAGACTGTCAAAGCCATTTTTAAAAATGTAGACCGTTACAAAGTAGCAGAAGCAATAAATGCTGAGTGTAATACAGGATTTTACCAGGATGACTGGGGACATGGTCTACTATAGTCTTGGCTGCCTGAGAGGGTGACTGGCCTAGTTTGATGCTGGCCCTGATCTTCAGAAAGAGGTCGATGCTCACCAGCAGTCTGTTCCCAATGTTGAACAGACCTGTTAGAATAAAGAAAGATTCATCAACTCGACTCCAGAGAATATGGCTACAGGCTAAACCACACCTTATAAAAAAGCTTCCTCGGTAAGAGCTGTTTATATCCACTCAATGCTGTTGGCATGAATACACAAGGAAAATATTGTTTCTCCATTATCAACTAGAAGTCATCAACATCATCAACAACCCCATCTGTTACTTTGACCATATTGAGGCAGGTTGAAACGTTAACCTGTCCTTATATTATTAAAGGTTAGCATGGAGCTGAAAGACGATGACAACAGTTTTTGAAAATACTGATAGATTTGCATTCACTGGAGTCTTATATGCTATATAAAAGGCTTTTAACCAATCAGTGAAATAATTATTGCAACTGGTAAATGCAACACTTTACTGCAGAAGCTGCCCTTTAAGGGCACTTTTTGTAGAAGAGCTATTCCAGGGCAGGTACCGATGGAGTTAACATTTGAACAAGCACCAATTTCTTTTTTGAAAAAGGAGCGACTGATGAGTAGCAAGGCTAAAAGTAGTGGACTGCTGTCTTTTCTAACATTTTAAGCAAACAGAAACACAGCACCCTTCTTAGTTTTACTGTTTTGGTCTCACAGAGCCACCGTTACTCATAATAACATTGCTGTTTTAGTAACACTGGAATTTCCATCACAACTGAAGACTTTGCCAACTTATTTTCTGTTCAGTGGATCACAGAAGCACAGTGTACTAAAAACTGGATAAGTCAAATTGGGAGCATGAGCCTATAAATGTACAGATGTTGTCAGAAGTTTACATACAGCATAAATGTCATGGTAGTTTGGGGTTTTGTTGATTTTTTAGCTGTTTTTCAGGGTGTAATGACTGTGAGGCATACATCTTTAACAACTTTAGAAAACGAGAACTGGTGCATAGGATTGGATTTATTTTTAATTTTCTCTAATCCACATAGAGTCAAAGATTTTATGCATTTTAAGCATAAGGCTAGTTCATTAATTTTTAAAAACATTCGAGCTGGGGCTTTAAGACCATTCCAGAAGTCGAATGTCAGCTTGTTTTATCCTTTCAAAACCAGTTTTGATGTTGTTTGGGATCACCAGCGAGAATTTAATAGGCTTTGGCCTCGTCACGTTAAAAAACACAGTAGAACCTCAGCACCACTTATTGAAAGATTTAGATGAGTCTGTGTATGTTTTTGACCCTGTGTGGATTAGAGAAAATCCAGAATAAATTCAGAACCAATACTTCTTTGAAAAAGAACAGTTCAAATAAATAATTAAAATTACCATGGCATTCATGCCTATGATAACTGAATGTAAATTTCTGGTCATTACTACATATGTGCCAGCTTGTGCCTACTGAGAGCTTCTGCAGACAAAAGGTAGCCAGTCTCCTGAGGAATCTTTATTTAATTCAAACAAATCCCATAATTATATGTGCAATATACCTTCAATTAGCTCTGCTTACCTGGATGAAGGTCAGTGAAGCTGTGCAGGGCCAGACACTGAACATTGAGACAAACCTTGAGCTGCAGAGAGACTGTCTGCATTAGAGTTTCAGTGAGCAGCCAGCAGTTCTCCTGTCCTGCAACAGTGCTAAAATGTACAGATACAGATAATGTAAGATACCAGATATGACAATAATAACTTTTTTAGCATTTTTCAAAACACAGAGTTACAAAGTGCTTAACAGTTTGAATAAAAGCCACAGAGTGATGATAACCACACAGAAACAAAATCAACCATATACGGTCAGACACTCATTCCAACATACAAGCAAATAGTTGCAAATTATAGTCAAAGTCAAGGGGGAAAATATTAAGGGAAAGCTAACCTATAAAAATGACTCTTCAGCAGTTAAAACCAGTAACAGTGAAGTTGACCTGATGAGTGTGGAAGGCTAATCCACAGTTTAGGTGCAACAACCTCAAATGCACAATCACCTCTATTTTTAAAACCCTGGTTTAAGGATCGGAGAGGCCGGCTGCAGTGATGAGGTTTCAGAAGCTCTGCTATTTAAGCAGAGGTCAGAATTTTAAAGTGGATTCTGAAATTCACTGAAAGCCAGTGAAGGAATCAGAGAATAGGTGTAATATGTGACTGCTGACTAGTTTTTGTAAGCAGCCTTGCTGCTGTGTCCTGCTGTAACTGGGGGTTAGATATGGAGGACTGAGAGACACGCGTGAAAAGTGAACTGCAATAATCAAGGTGGGAGAATACTAAAGATATTAAAACTAATCCTGTCATGCATCTTCTTACCTCTGATCACCTTTGAAGAGAGGGTAGTTACACAGGCCACAGTGAGTAGCTGCTGACTCGTAGTACTGAGGCCACCTAGACTGAAGCATGGTCTCTGCCTCGGCGCTGTTTTCCTGCTCCTGGTCAGCCACTTGAACAAAGACAACCTGGAAAGTGTTGAGCTCCTGGATGAGGGTTAATGTTTCCTGAAGCTCAGTCTCATTCTCAGGAATCTGCAAAGAGCTGCGCAGCAGCTGCACCGTATTTTGACGCTGGATGTCTTTTTGGGCAGGACTAAGGGGATTGTATGGATACAGCAGAGTCTCAGACTGAAAAGGGGAAATTAAGAAATCAATGGAGACAAATGGATCCGTATTGAAAAATACAAAAATGTTGGTTTTAAAGTAAAAGTAAAGCATTTAATACATTTGTGTTCAGAAGTTGCTAAAGGTTTCTGCAATAATTATAGTGAAGACAAGTAAACGAAAGTGTTACAGCTGTAACAGAAAATAGAATCAAAGCATTCTCAGGGATCCCAGCTACTGCTACGCTTCATAAAATAATCAGCAAAAGATCAAAGAAACAGCTGGAAACTGATCTTACAGCACCTGCACTTTGGAGAAAAATTGGAGGAAGGAAGGTTTTGTGTACCTTTGTTGCCTTGGCATTCTTCTGGGTCAGCTCGCAGCCACATTTCGGGCACACTGCAGGTTTGTGCCTGTTCTTATAAATATAGTCGCAAGATGGGTTCTTACACCGACCCCTGCCTCGTGCTGTGGACAGTCCCAAATCCTTAAAGAATAAAGAAGTAAATTACCTAAATATCAACAAACAAGCAACATAGAGGGACAAAAGTACAGGTTTGTACACAATTACAGCAGAATAAACTGCAAGGAAGATACTCACAAAACTGGAAACTGTTTGCTGTTTGAAAGGCACAACTGACAGGATATTCACTCTCCTGTCAGTCAGAGAAGACGTGGGCTGGCTTCTGTCCGCTGCACCCGGAAAATCCTATGGAAATGCATGCAGACAGTTAGAAAGAAGGATTAAATCTGCTGTTTTGCAGTTCTGTGTGAGATTTTTCTGTGTGTGTGTGTAACCATGTGTATGTGTTAACCTGGTTAGCTGTGGTCGTTGGGACGGCCTGGCCGAGCTGCTTTAAAGTGCTGGGTTTGAGACCTGAGAAATTCTCTGGTGGCACTGTGGTTAAAAAAGAACCACATCAACTGAGAGCGAAAACCTCAGAAAATACAGCCACATCGAGACACTTCATGATAAAATTGGTCTGCATGTGTCAAGAACAAGCACAGAACATACATGTAATAAAACCAGACAGAAGCCACAAATGTGGAAATTGCACAGAATGAAGAAAAATTAGAAATACAGTCAAATGAACATTACCATTCGGTGAATTATTGTTGTGTGAATACTGAAATTTCTCTTTGTCAGGTGGAACAGTTATGATCTGAAACACAGCACGACCTAAAACACAAACACATATGTTGACGCTGTAAGAGCCCAATTAAACACAGGCACCAAAACATTACTGCTGGGTCTGTTTCATTTCACCTGTGTTGTAGCAGGCAGGAAGGATGGGCCTCACAGGCCTCTTCTGCACAATGGTACTGCTCTTTTCCTGGCCTTGGATTGAGGCACTTTTAGGATTGTCTTTCACTTGTCTAGAAATAAAAGAGTAAGTATGTCAAGTCAGATACAGCCTAGTGTCAAAACACAGAGGGCAGCAGGCAGCTGTTTTAACAGCACAAAGAGGAAGTGAGTATAATTCAACTTCATCCACATTTTCAAAATGGCCTTTTTTTCCACACATTTTTGGCAGTTCTTGTTATTAAGGGAGGTACAGTAAGTGAAAAGAGAAAAAACAAGATAAGTGTGCATTTTTAAAAATAAACAAATCCACTAATGCACATACAGTACTGTGAAAAAACATTGAGCCCCCTCAAATTTCTTGACATTTGGTAGGAAAATGACAAATACGGGCATACAGATACAAATCTACAAATACAGGTACATGCCATTGATTTTAGTACCTTTTTATGCTTCAGTTATTCTGATATTATTGTTACATGGCTTAACAAATATTTAAAAAAACTTCAAGTACAAGATTAAAATGAGTTAACGAAAAATGTTGATAGTCCTTCAGAAAGGACTCAAAATGACTTTGAACATTAAAAGAAAGTATTGAAGAAAAATGTAAATATAAATGACAGACTACAAGAAGCAATCTCGAGACTTTTGCATTGTACTTCTCATACTGCATGCCTTCTGCAGCTAAAGCATAAACGCTTCCATCTGTAAATAACCACCACTTAAACAATGTAATCCAGCGGTCCCCAACCCCCGGGCCTCGGACCGGTACCGGGCCGCGAGAGTTGAGGCTCAGGTGTGAAATGTATGGTTTTCAGGGTTTTTATCGTTTTTCAGCGTTATTTTGTTATCGTTTTTATCGTTAACTCTGTTTTTCCTGGGTCTTTTCACGTGTGTTATGAATAAATCTTATTTTTTTCTGTACCGGTACTAGTTTTATTTTGTTGTATTTTTCCACGACACCTTAAAGGCCGGCCCGTGAAAATATTGTCGGGCATAAACCAGTCCGTGGCGCAAAAAAGGTTGGGGACCGCTGATGTAATCAACTTGCTTCTTTAAAAGAACAAACACACTTAATATCTGATTAAATGGCCTTGTGAACTCTCAGACAGTAATAATCTGCAGAAATGACACGCACCTTGTTTGAGCCGGTTGTTTGGTGCTGCTGCCCTCTTGTGGCACTCCAGCTGAACGAACAGGCTGCTTTCTGACGCGCCTCAGAACTTGTCCTTCTTTGTTGCCTGCAGTAGTATTTATTTTGCTGACAGCAGCACCTGCCTTCTGAGTTGTTGGTTGTGTGGTTTGACAGCTTTTATTAGCTTTTTTTTTAGCTTTTTGTTGCAACTGCCTTGAAGCAGCTTGCTTCTCGTGTGACTTTTTTGCCTATTAAGAAAATGGTAGCCAAAACTAACTGATTAGAACCACAAGTAAATAGTGAATATTTTTCTTAGGTTTCATTAACACTTACAGCGGGTATCCATTTACCACCCAAGTGGCTCCCACACTCGGGGCATGTTGGTGGCTTGTGGCGGGTAACGTAGATAAATGAACAGCCAGGAGTCAGACACCTCCCTCGACCTCTCCGAGTGTATGTCTTCACAGACTGATGAGAAGAGGAAAATATGTAACTTCAGGTCTTTCAAGTCCTAAAAATTAAATGTGTACTCTTCCAGATACAAGATTTTTCTTTATTTGACTAATATGCATGTTTACCATTTTATATGAAGGTTTGACACTTTGCTCTATGCTTGCTCCAACAGGGACCATCACCACCGGGCCCACAGAGCTCACAGTTGCCAAAGACTTGGGCCCCAGTAGGTTCTAGGGTAAGGCAAGAAGTAAGCAAAATACATGTGCTGTTATTAAAATTAGGTGATTATAGAAGTGAATGAATATCAGTCTACAACCTGGCAGAAGATGGAGGACATTTAGGTCGTACCTGGGTGGGTATGATGGCCACCACCTGTGTGGTTTCCCCCTGTGTTTGCTGCACCATCGATGCACTGTAACTACTACTGCCAGCTTTTGCCTCATTTCCTTTCAGTATGACCCGATTTGCCGCACAGTCATCAGAGCCCTGTGAGACACTGGAGTCTCCAGAAGCTGTTGCTTTCGGTGAGACAGAGGAGGAGGAAGAGGCGGGTGGAATTCCTTGGAGGGCAGGAGACACTACCGCTGTTTCCCCTTTTATTTCATCAACAACAATGGGGTGTTCAGAGAGTTCAACCTTACCAGCCAACCCTAGAGGTGTCAACCGGGCTTCCTGAATAAGGGAGACTGAGGGCAAGCCATTTTCAGGTGGATTCTCCGTAGACTCAATGCTGAGCTCTGATTGAGAGCTTCCCGGCTGGAGACTTGAGGAGCAGCCTTTGGACAATACAAAGTAACTGGTTCTTGGTAGGATTTTGCGGAAGCCTGGCAGATCTTTGGAGGGACTAACAGATGACTGAGGAAAAAACACAATCAAGACATTTTTTATGGCCAAAAGAATTCATGATAAAGGAAATAAATTAATCTCACTGGAGGAAGGGCTTTTTGATCAGCTGTCTACCAGTGGCAATGTTTTTAAAAAGACGGGTTGACTTTGTGGAATAATGATTAATTTACTACTAGAGTGTCTACTAGTACAGTATTTATTATACTAAAAATACTTTTTACTGTTAAGTTACAGGTACTAAAAGTGAGTCTGAAAGAGATTAGAAACCTGTAGATTGTGACTTTTCTGATTTTTCATCACAAAAAACACTTTGTTAATAAAGAAATAAAGTCTGTTTGTCACAGACAAGTATCTTTCTGCATTGACTCCAAGTGAGAAACCACAGGAAGTGGTAAATTGTCTTCACTTTTAAGCACAAAAGTGTTTATGATGATATCCTGAGACCTTGAGAAAGCACATTTAGTTAAATCTGAACTTTTTAACTCAGAGATGAGGGAAAATCTGGATGTTTTGTTCAGAAAACAGGAGTAATTTAAAATCTGAATCAGTTACCATAATAACAAATTCTGACTCTTCACGTCCAGCTAAACACGGTGACATGGTTTCTTTTGTTGGTTCATAGTTGATATTTCAAAGAAGATATTGGAATGCATTTATTTGCTAAAGTTTAGGCGTTCAATTCATATTTACCTGGAACATCAAAGTCCCAGGTAAATATTAATTGATGCTGCTGCCCTCTTGTGGCACTCCAGCCAACTAATAAATATTAGTTGAGGACTGCCTTAACAAGCTGTTATCCTTGTAAGAGAAAGAGATCTAGCATATCTGTGGACATGCTAGATTTATTCTCAGATCTTCACTGAAAATGTTAACATCCCTCACTGTTTAGAAGTTATAAAAAGTGACTGTTTTTCATGATGTGATTGGCTGCAGTGATGGGGCCCTCCTATTATATTTATAAAATCATACTATACGATCATAGTAAGTCGTCCCTTGGAAATGACTTGTATACTTCTAAGGATGACTGCATGTTCACATATAACAAAAGGTAGGTTATGTACCTGCGTTTATGAAGGCTGCAGACAGTTTTCAACATTCCGACACTATTGTTCACTATGTAGGAATATATACACACTTTGAAAGATAGTCAAACACTGTTGAGGAAGGTCTTAAATGTAAATTCAATCTTTTTTTTCCATATATTGAACTAAGTATTTTTCTAATTTATCTGTAACAGACTCATATTGCCAGGTGAAAGTGCGCCAGTTTTGAATTCTAGCATAAGTGTTTAAGAAGGTTTAATCTACAGATTAATGGATTTAAATAATATGGTCTTCTCAGCTAATCCGATACGCTGGTTTGTTTACATTTTAAAAAAAAGTTGAGACTGCAGCTTACTGTATCTACGCCCTCCTTCTCCAACTTGGCTTTTTCCAGGTAGTAGCTTTTCTCAGCTACGCTGAGTCGTTTCCAGCTCTCACTGATACGCTTGTTGATCTCAGACTGTGGCATATTAGAGACTCCAAGTTGCATAATCTGGTGAACATCAAAGTAGTATAGCAGATAGGCAGACATAAGGCAGACAACACATTCCAAGTCTACAATTAGAACATGACATTTTTAAGACATTTTTAATGCCTTTGAAGCTCAGCCAGTGATGAAAGAAGGGTTGAAAACCATTTTATTCATGTTACCTAGGCTTCTTAGGTTTCTCCACACTGTCATCTTGAGGTTTGCTCTTCCTCTTTTTAAAGGATGTCACCTCCATTTGGCTGTAGGCACTCTCCACCTCTTCTGTCACTTTAACAACCTCAAAAAGCTCCACTTTGTCCATGTTTCCAAAGATCTAGGACAAAAATGACACACAGCAGGGGATCCATGTTTGAACAGTCAAGAAGATGGAATTTATTGCAGGGGTGTTGTGTCAAAGCGTACCCATCTCCACTTCACTTCAAAAAGGGAAGCACCAAAAATAGAAGCATTTAGGCTTTATTTAACCAAGTAAAAGTGTCAGGGAGAATAAAGATCTCTTATTCGGTAGTTAACTTGCCAAGAGAGCAGTAAAATAGTTGTAAATAAAAACACAAACGATAAAAACAGACAAAAACACACATTAGACGAGTGAAGACAATATCTCGTTCACATGCAGTAAATTCTAAAGCTCAAATTGGAAACAACTTGCAAATTTGTTTTTATGAAATTCCATGTTTGCACATCTTAGCTATTTCATGCCTAATAACACAATAACATGCAACTAAGGCCCAAATCAATAGCGAGCACAATGTTTGAACAGTATGACAAGGGTGATTTTATATAGTAACTGCAGTGCTTTTGACATAAAGTTTATTTCACCTCCTTTCCTCGGGTGATGAGAGGCAAGCAGAGGTGCTCATAAAGGCTATAACTAATAAAAAATAATACTAATAAAAGTACTGGAGTGTGACTAAAGGTTATTATTTGAATATATCGCTGCAAAAATGCCATGCACTTTTATCCACATTGCTCAAGGAGAGAGATACTAAACCAAACAAATATGTAAAAACCACCGCTCCTTCCTCGTTTTAAAGGTAGGTTTAATGGCGTGTGTTAATACTGCCCGCACGGTCAGTCAGTTATCCAATGAAATGCCTTCTTATTGAAGTCTTACCTACGACGGCCCAAGGTACTACAAACTACTCTGAACAACGTTTAGAAGTCGCCGAAAATGTCCATGCATTGTGTTAATATGCTAAGTAACGCTACGTGTTGCCTGTTCTTTACATTAGATAAAGAATTTGACGACGCTAGTAAAGGTGTAAAGTAGCCTCGTTGCTAGTCGTCTCATGAAAAAAGATGGCGGTTTGTTGCCATTGTCATTAACCAATCGCATGCCAGAATGTATACATTAAACCAATCACGTAAGACGTTTTTGCCACGTGAAAGTGCAGTGTGCGTCCTACGAAGTAGTGCTTGTGGACACAAGCAAGCGCAATTGTTTTCCGGTTAAATGCCTCTAGAGGGGCTACAGTAGAATAACAGGGTAGAGAGTGGCTTTGAGTGGGATACATAAATGGGACGCATTTAAAAATTAAATATTCCCCATAAATCCCAAAGCCAAAGAAATGCATTTGAAAAGTTTAAATGACGTGCACCCTGACAATGATTATCATAACTTTGCACGACAGCGATATGGAAGGGAAACTCCAAACTTTTTCTAACCGTACTTTCTCATACGCCTGCCAACAGCACCAAATTTCCATTTGTATAACTAACGTATTACAAAGCATTGATTTCCAGGCTATACCAATCGAGCGAAAATCGAGCGGACACTCAGCTGCAGCACAGACTTAGGAGCCGAATGCCGATTAACGCACCGAGCAAAATGGCGGATGACAAGGTTAGTGAGAGTGTGGTCAGGCTTAATATGTTTTATGTTTATGTTGTGCGTTTCATCGTATGTTAGCGTCTGCTAGGACAATAAAATATATTTTTCTATTAACAGCGTTTATTTTAACAGGGTAGGGATCACTTTTACATGAAATTGTTCGGCTTTAGTATTACCGCTTGTAGCTGTGATAACTTCGACAGAAGTGTGGAGTTTGGTGGAAAAAAAACAGATGTGCTTTTCGTAAAACCGCTGTAGACAAGTTTAGGCTGTCACCTGTCCTCGGGTAGATTAATTTTGAACTATCATATCATTTCTAATGGGAATTTGATTAACTGCTTTTATTACAGGATCCTCTGAAACAGTTAAGAGATCTAACACAGCTCAAAAATCAGCTGGAGGAGATCCAGAGGCGAGTAGAGCACGAAGTATCTGCAGGAATTCCCCAGGTAAGTTATTACAGGTGTCCCAGATAAGTGGTCAGTACCTTGAAGCACGTTCTCCTTGTCTAATCTTGCTGTAGGAATATACAGTCGGTGGCCACTTTATAAGGTATATGATGCTATTACCGAGTTGGATCTTTTCTGTCTCCATTCTTTATGGCACAGATTAAACAAGCTACTGGAAACATTACTGATAGGTTTTTTTCCCATCTTGACATGTAAGCATCAGATTTGTTGATCAAATGTCACACCACGTCCCAAAGGTGCTCTATTCCATTGAGATCAGCTGACATTTAAGTGGCATGAACTCATTGTCACTTTCAAGAAACCAGTTTGACAAGATTTGAGCTTTGTGACATCAGGTTTGAGATACTTTGTCTACCTGTAGGTAGATTTTGTCTGTAATAAGTCATCCATTCCCCACATTTTCATCAGAGACACAACAGATAAGTATAGTTCAAAATACCGAAAACAAAACTGACAATAATTTTGAGAACGAACAGCTTGTAGGACTGGGGGAACCTAAATAGGTGAGAACCGAAAGGAGCGTGTATAGAGGCGTGGTCCCGCTTCTGAAATTCCGATACTTAATCTCCAAGACAAGCTCACCTAGCACCAACAATCATGCCACATTCAAAATCACTTAAAATCACCTTTCTTCCTTACCCTGATGCTCTGTTTGAACTTCAGCGTCTTGTCTTCACAACGTCTATATGGCTAAATGCACTGAGTTGCTGCCATGTGACTGGCTGACTGGATATTTGTGTTCATGAGCAGTTGAGTGGGTATACCTAATAAAGTGACCGGAGAGTGTATATGATTGTAAATGTAAAGCATTTCCGTTAACAGTTGTATTACGACTGATGAATAAAAGTGAATACTGGTCACTCATTCAGACTAACGGAAGCTAAATTGTGATTGTGGTCTATGCAGAATATATATTTACCCTTAATGAAATATCTTCATTTGTGTGTATTGTTTTGCCTTGTAGGGTGGTTCAGTGTTGGGATCGCCATTTTTGAAAGGCTTTTTGGCCGGCTATGTGGTGGCCAGACTACGTTCATCTGCCTTCCTGGGAGTACTGCTGGGAACAGTCACTGGCATGTATGCAGCGCAGAATTATCAAGTGCCCAATATTGAAAGGACCTTTAAGGAGTACATGAACAACTTGAAGAAAGGACCAAAGTAATCTGCGATGACTGTTTGTCTTTCCAGTGACTTTACAGAAGTACTACTCTTGGAGCTCCCGGCTCGTGATAGATCAGGACTTTTGCATAGACTGGATTATGGATGTAAACATTTAACTCAAATTTTACTGGGGACTGAATTCTTGCTTCTCTTTTTTTTTTTTTCTTGCATTTTTGTTGTGAGGGAAGTTACATGCTACTGTTCCACTTGCATCTGTCCAATGTTAACCCTGACCTTGAGCCTTTAGATTTCATGACCTGTCTTAGTTTTGTTCCAGCTGTTTACACCTGTCAAATTTTGAAGTAGTCATATAAAAAAAATTTGAAGATATTTCCTACATCTTTATTGTTCAGCTAAAACACGTAGCTACATAGAGAATTATCTATCTATTGTGAAATTACCCTTTAAATGGCTGTAATTCGCTGCTTGTCATTTCAAAGTAACCTTAAGTGGGAGGGTTGATGCACTTTAGCAAAGCTTGAGGTTCAGATTGTTGGAAAATAAGTATTTATTGTGTGTCATTGATTATGATTGTGATTGATAATGTGGGGCCCAGTCCCCCAGCAAGTATTAAGAGGCAGTTGGGGAAAAGAATTAGGTGGGGGTTTCTCCTGGGGCTTATGGTTCTCATCTATGGTTCTCATGCACCACTCATCACTCTCACTAAGGTAGATGGTAAAGTCCCTTTTAACCCTTCCTCATGTGTTGTAATGATCGAGTTAGCTAAACTGCTTATCTCTCTGATGACTCTTGTTCTAACTGGTGGTACAGCAAACTTGTGTGCTTTTCCACGCCTTGCCTTCGTGGCCCCCTATGCAGTCCCTGCTATACTTTACGCCCTCAACAACAACCTGGTTGTTCTGATGCAGGCCTACATGGACCCAAGTTCATTCCAGGTACTGTCAAATCTTAAAATTGCCTCTACTGCCCTGCTTTACTCCCTCTGTTTGGGCAAGAGGTTCCGGCCTGCTCAGTGGTTAGGCCTGGGGCTCCTCATGTTTGCAGGTGTGTTCCACAGTTACAGTAACCTGGATTTGGAGGAACCTGACAAGGGTGAAGCTGAGGAAGTTGAAAGGCTTCATATCACAGCCTGGGGGCTTTTCCTTGTGCTGGTGTACTGCTGTGTTTCAGGGCTGGCAGCAGTTTACACAGAGGGGATACTGAAGAGCCAACAGCTTCCCCTAAGCCTACAGAACCTCTACCTCTATATATTTGGTGTGGTAATCAATGGACTGTCATCTTTTTCCTCTGCGGCAAGTGACAAAGGCTTTCTGGAAGGCTACTCGTGGGTGGTTTGGGTCATCATAGCAGGACAAGCAGCAAATGGACTCCTGATGTCTGTGGTTCTCAAACATGGCAGTGGGATCACCAGACTGTTTGTCATTTCCTGTTCCATGCTGGTTAATGCTCTGTTGTCTTGGTCCACCTTAGGTTTGCAGCTGACTGCTTTATTCCCAGTACCCGTTGCTATGATTGGATTGGCAGCTTACCTTTACTACAGATAGTGCCGTCTTTAATAAAAGAACCACCAGCACAGTTTGACCCCACAAAAGCTCTCAGCTCTCACCTAAACTTTTGTTTTTTAGGGTTTTTTAATGCCTTATCTTCCATCTGAAACTTGAAGCTCTTCTTTTTTTATTTGGATTCCAACACGTGTTTGTGACCATATTACTCATACCTGTTAAGTCATGTTGCCTAATTTGACTTTACGATTGTGTTACACTGCAGTAAATTCAGATCACACAGTAAACAAATGTTATATGGAGTGAATTATTTCCGATGACTGCTGCTATTTTTTTTTCTTCATTTTTTTATCACCTTCTCTGCCAAGAACAACATCAGAGATAAAGTGTTATGCAGTGTTTTAATAACCAATAAACTGTTAAAAAATATTTTTTTTATTTGACATTTATTTCTCATGATTTACAGTCCACACACTGCTGCGTAAAGACATTCAAGTCACACATTCAGTGTTGACGGGGGATCAGCCACGGGATCACCTTGTGCAGCTAGCATATCCTTCAGTTCTCCTGCTGCTGTTTAAATAAAAAAAAAACATTTTTTTTTAAGCATTTAGTTATACAACCACACATCTAGTAAAGGTTACATAATTTCAAACTGACATTTACGGAGTTGCTTATTCTCTGCCTGCAGCTGCTGGTTCTGTGCAGACAAGTAGATGGCATCCTGCACCGCTTCCAGCAGCACACTTCTGTATCTGCCCTCTGAAATCTTTCTCTGCTCTTCGCCTACCTGACGAAACACTCTGAACACCTAGGGAGATAACAGCAGGGGGGCAATGTAGAAAGGATATCATTTAGTAAAGCTTTATACAAGTATTTTTATGAAGCAGCTAACAAAGTCATTTTATATAGAGCATACTCTTCTCTTTAAAGTCAAAACTGGCATTTGCTTACTATGATCAATATCAAACTGTGGTCTTGTAAGCTGCCTTACAAGCTGTTAACTTCAAAAACTCATCTTCTGAGTATGTGTGGCTTTCTTTGCGATTTCTCTGTAGGAATAACCTACTCTTTTAAATGTCACGATGGTCTGTCTCTCTTGCATTCTTTTATAGCAACACACCGCTTTCTGCAGTACAACACGATTCAAATAATGCTCACAAAGATGTGAGCACAGTGTGTTCATCCTTTGAGATAGACCTAGGCGAAATGCTTAATATTTTTAATGTAAGTGAAGTACTAAGAGCAGAAAAAGATGCAAAATATGAACTTTATATACGTGACTCCTCCCTCATACAGCTGATTCAGCAAATATCATCACTCGGGGGGGATGTGTCAGCGCTGCATTATCCATCATCAGAGCATTACGGTCTATGGCAGTGCTTCCAAATATAAATATGTGATGTTTACTGTACATAAATCCTAACGGATACAGGAATATAGTAATCAACCATACAAGGATACAGATTTTTAATAAAGTTATACAGTAAATTTAATTGCTGTTAATTTGATTAACCATCCATAAAACATTTACAGGCAAGTTCATACGCATGTTTACAATAACTTGTCATCACTATGTGTTGTCATGCCCTGTGATGACCTGGCTGCCTGTCCTGAGTGTATCCCCCACCTTTCATCAAAGGTTAGCTGTAGCAGGCACTAGGATATAGATACTGTCTTTTGAGCTCAAGGGAAATCTTGTATTTGACAGTTCAGCTACTTGAGTTAAATGTCAGCTTGTGATTTACGCAATTGTAGTTATTGAGAAGAACAATATTCCGTGGATAGCTACGACCTCTCTTAAATAATCTGGAAATCCAGACGAATTGATGACAGCTAAAAATTTACACATGGTATTGATTTCCAAGACTGAGTCACAAATTATGATCGTCCTTATGAAGATAGAAATGTAACTTTGGTGTTTTTAATTTCAGAGGCAGTTCAGGCAGACATGAGTTTGCTGAAAGTAACAAACTAATAAAATGTGAATAAGTCCTGTTATTTGAATCATGGTTATTTCTCCCACCTGCAGGCTCTCCTCCCTGAGACAGTGCAGCTCTGCTCGGTGTCTGTCATATTGATCCTGTAGGTCTTTTTCAGCTTGCTGGGCCTCGGCACGCAGGGCCTCTATCTGCAGTACTAGGACCTGTCTCTCTCTGGTCAGTACCAGCAAGTCCCTCTGAGGACCTTCTTTCTAACACAGGAATGCACAAACCATAAAATTATGCAAGAAAATAACGTAATTATACAGTGAATTCCACTGCCTGCCATAAATCCAGCCTTGCATTAATTCAAACTGACTCAGCAACCTCAGCTAAGATGGATCACAAACAGAATAGTGTTAGTGTATCTCATTATCTCACCGGTAGGTTTTCCTGTGCCAAGTCTCTCTCCATCTTCTCCACCTCCTGCTGAATTAATCTCCCATGATCCTCCTTAAGTTGCCTCCTCCGTTCCTCTGCTTTGTTGTATTCCAACTGAGACTTATCATTAAATTGGCAAAACAAATGCCGTTGTGTGGGCTGCCCACTCTTGTGCACATAAATAATTTTTAAATGTTGAAAAGATTATTGATTCAGCCTTGTTACTGCATTATCCAACCACATGCATGGTTTTGGAAAATGCCCAAACCCCTTTTGTTCTTGCACATTTTAACGTGTTGTCGGAAAACCGAATCTCGACATCAGGTTAAAACCTAGAAATCCAAGAAATTCACCGTAGACTTGCAGCAATTAGGGCAGAAGTGTTGAACATCTTCCAACATTTCAACTGTTACCAGGAGCCAAATTGAAGTGGAAGCTTAAAACGTCGATGAGTTGGTGTTTCAACCGAAGTGAGCGGAAGGTCAGCATTACTCCAACATCAGGCCTATAGAGAGGCTAGATGGAAGCTGGTCGTGCATAAAAGACAAACACCTACTTGCTTGGAGCTGACTGAAAGGACTAAGTTCAGATGTTTCAAAAAAAGAGTAACACTGCTCATCTCATCCCCAAGGAAAAGCATTTCAGTGTCAGAATCGTGCTATGCATATGCTTCACTGCAGCATATGTGGGACTATATTCCCCATCTACATCATAGGGTATTCAAGTAGTGAAGGGGTCTGAGTATTTTCTAAATAATCTGTAATAAATTAGAGTTTGTAATGCCAGATGATGTGCTTTACTTGTTGACAGGCAGGGGAATTCCCAGTAGCAGCTGCACTCTTGAGTGTCTCCTCCATGAGAGCCTCCTTCAGCTGCTGGATTCTCGCTACTCTCTCCTGGACCTTTTCTGCATTCTCTTTACCTTCTGGGAATATGAGAAACAAACAGAATACGCCGGCTGTGGTTAGCCATATGGAACCGTGACTTTTGAATCTGAGTACTTTACCTGTAATATGTGCTTCCATTTCCTGCCTCAGCTGGTCCTGTAGACATTTCATTGTATCTGTACCCTGCCTGCTGTTGGGGTGATGATCTCCAGAAAACAGCAGATTGCTATTTGAGGTCTTGCAAGTCTGCCAAGTAATATAAAACATGGAGCTCATTTTATTGTGTTGAAGACACTTTGTGTTCTAGTTTTTGCTACACTTGTTAATAAATGTAATAATTTGTATATAAACCTTTATTTTGACTTTTATCTTTTCTGATTCTTCCCGTCTCTTCTCCCATGATTGATTTTTCACCATCTGTTGTGGTGATCACAGCACAGACTCAAACTCATTATTTGGACAGCATTATTTTCCATGAGGCTGATTTTATGAATTACCTGCAGGTTTCGCGTGAGCTCGGCCAGCTCGTAGATGCTGTGAACTTCACTGTCCCCCTGTGACATTATCACGCTTCTTAGATCAGTGATGCTGTCACGAATCTTTTGCTCAGTTGCCCTTGGACTCCAGCAACCAGTGGTGGGCTTAGTTGCAAAACCTCTCACTTTCTGGGCCAGATTTAAAGCAGAAGGTGTCTCGTTATCTAGAAGACCTGAAAGGAGAAGGGTTATTTTTGTTTTGTAAATCACACATGCATATTTATTTCTTTGTATGTTGATGTGGTGTAGCTCAGTACCTTGAGGGTTAATGCAGTAAATGAGGACAGTCCTGCTATTTCCTTTTAAGGCATCATTAAGCAAATGAGGCAGGAGGCTCACACTGATATTAGCAGCAGGATTTGGGATTTGGTCCAGGACCTTCAGCAGTGGGTTCACTCTGAAAATATATATCAAATATCACAAAGTGGATATGCTATCCAACCATCCAGTTATTTATTTTTATTTTTATTTTTGCCATTAATCTGAGTTCAGGTCCCAAAGATGCCCAGACCTCCCTCTCCCCATCCACTTCCTTCAGGGGAACACCAAGACATTCCCAAGCCAGCTGAGACACATAATGGGCCTGGATCTGGGTCTTCTCCTGGTAGGACATGCCTGAAACACCTCATTCAGAAGGGATCCTAGTCAGAAACCTAAACAACGTCAGCTGGCTCTTTTTGATATGAAGGATTAGCAGCTCTACTCGGAGCTCTTCACCCTGTCTCTAAGATATCAGGACATAATATAATATAGTAATAGCATATAATATCATATCAGAAATTAATGTGGGTATAAAATCAATACATAAAGATATCTAGGCCTTTACAGGTCTTTTAAAATGAGGTAAAAACAACTTGAGCTGAATTACAACACATGACAAATTACATCTTATTATTATTATTATTTTATCAAAAAAACTAAGGCAAAATGCAAAGTACACCATCCACCCATCTTCATGTTGCAGGGGGAGAAGACTTAGCAGAGAAGCCCACACCTCCCTCTCCCCAGCTTATCTGAAAGAACACTCAGCCAACAGAGAGACATCATCTCTCTGGCATGTCCTGGATCTGCCTCAGGGCCTTCTCCTGGTAGGACATGCCTGAAACATCTCACCTGGGAGGCATCCAGGAGGCCTCTTAGTCAGATACCTGACTAACCTCAGCCAGCTCTCTTTGATGCGGAGGAGTAGCGGCTCTACTCTGAGCCCCTCCCAAATGACTGAACTCTGCACCTTACCTCTAAGGGAGAGAGCAGCCATGCTAAAAGCCAATTCCAAATGACCTGCTGAGATTGAAAAGGCGGTTTGTGTTGTGTTTATGCTCTAGCACACCGACATAAGAAACCATGCTGTAAAATGTAGAATTAATCATTTTTAGCTTGAATAAAGCTTCTACTCATAAAGAGAACTGATATCAAAAAATTACATTTCTGAGGCAAATGCTGTCCTCCCTGTTGATCTGGCCTAATTAACAGGACCATATACCTGCAGACATTTTGACTCATCGCAGCCAGAAAAGTACAGGTTTTACTAATGAGGTGAAGGCTGCAAGATACTTCAGGCAATCACTCTAGTGTACTGCGGCACTCGCATTGGCATACTCCCCTCACATACCCAACACCCTTTTAATCATGCTGGTATAAGCTGTCAGTTCCCTCCTCATTCTTTCACTGCCTGCCTGTGAACACTGCTTTCCCCAAAAGCTATGCCGCTACTTCCTTCCATTGTTACTGAACATATTTCAAAAGGCCATCCCCCACCCGAGCATCTAACTGTAGGCTCTGAGTCAAATTCACTCCCTGTTGAGTTGGATATGTTTTCTTGTAGAGATGAAGATCTGAAGCTGGTTTGCTGAGTGAAATAACATTAGTGTCATATAGATTTTTGTTTGCAATGATGATGGACAGGCTGACAGATGAGGTCAGGCAGGAGTGTCCTTGGACTATGGTGTTTGTAGGCAACATTGTGGTCTTTAGTGAGAGTAGAGAGCAGTGTTGGTCAAGTTACTTGAAAAAAGTAATCAGTAACTAATTACTGATTACTTCCCC